TGCTGCTTATCTGTTCTCATCTACCATCCGTCCAGCCATGCATGCATTCATCCATCCTCTATTCATTTATCTACTCATCAACCCACACATTCACTTATCATAATTATCCATTATCCACCCACTCAAACACCCACTTGCCATTCCACCTATAATACCATGCATGCATGCATCCAGTCCCCCCATCCCCCAGCCCCTCAGCCACCCAGCCCTTGTATCTAGCTCCTCTCCCTCTCCCACTGAAACCCTGGGTTTGATCTCATGAGTCTGTAATCCTAGTGCTTAGGAAGTAGATGCAGGAAATAGAAAGTTCAAGGGTCATTCTTGACCATGTAGTGAGTCTGAAGTCAGTCTGCATTACAGGAGGCTGTCTCAAAAGAAAAAACAAACAAACAAACCAGCTTTATCTAAGTAGAATAACAGAGAACACACACACACACAACACACACACATTAATACATTCTAGTGATCTTCTTCAACTTTACCTCAACTTTAGAAGGAACAATGTAGTAGTTAACTTTCATGTCATTGTTCCCACAACACCCGATGAGATATGAGAAGGAAGATGTATGTCAGCTCATGGTTTTAAACAGTTCCAATGCAATGGCTCAGTTGATGGAATGGGAGTGTATGGTGGAGGCTGTTTACTTAGGAAAATGAGGAAGCAAAGAAGTACCAGGAGTCAGGATTTTGTACAGATTTACCCCTACTGAGCTACTTAGCCCCTGCCTCCTGAAGGCTTACAGCCTTCCAAAGCAGAACTATTGGCCATAAGCAAACATGAGTCAGTACAACGTACTCAAAATTAGGCCACAAAAAAGCACTGCCTGACCTGGGAGGAGAAAAGTGAGTTAAGAGTATTAAGAAGCAGGTATCTGGGGCTCCATGGTTAAGATGAGTTCCTCTCTTCTGGACGACCTGAGTTCTGTTCCCAGCACCCAGTCAAACAACCTGCAGCTGAAACTTCAGACCCAGGGGCTCTGACCCTCACTTCCAGCCTCTGTGGGTACTGTGTTTATGTGCACATAACCTACTACCTGCTCAGACACACATATACATGTACTTAATATAATTCTCTGGCTGTAGAGATGGCTCAACAGTGAAGGGCACTGGCTGCTCTTCCAGAGAACTAAGATTCAACCCCCAGATCCCACATGGCAGCATACAACCATCTGTAACTGAGGTTCCAGGGGGTCCATCTCCTTCTGGCCTCCACAGACACCAGGTATACACATGGTACACAGACATACATGCAGGCAAACTTTTTTTAATTAAAAAAAATTAAAGTAAAAGTTTAAAAAACTTCAGCACATAAAATAAATATTAAAAAAGAAAAGAAACAGTTGTCTGTAGCCAGAGTAGGCAGTGGTGATGTCTTTGGCCAGCGTGGTAGAAATAAAACAAAGTGGTTAACAACGGAAACATTTTGAAGGCAAAGCCAAAAGCATTTGCTGGTGCCTAGAATGTGGTGGAGAAAGACCAAAGTCAAGGATGATGCCATGTTTTAGAACTGGAGGGAATGATTTGGAGAGAACTAGATCACACTTATTTTAGCAAGGGGCAGATATTAGGATATGTGTGTGGGGTGGGGGTGGGGAGCCATGTAAAGCTTAAAATGTCAGGTGTAGGATGGTTCAGTGGAGAAAGCACTTGGTATGTGTGAGGAATGGGATTTGGATTCCTAGACCACACGTAAGTGTTGATTAGATGTGGCAACCTGCACTTAATTCTAACACTATGAATGTGGGGATCCCGGCCACAGACAGGCTAACTACACTAGACTATGCCATCAATCTCTGGGTTCAATTGAGAAGCCTTGCCTCAATACATAAGGTGGAAATCAATCAAGGAAGATTACTAATGTTAACTTCAGGCTTCCACATACATGTAAATGCACATGGATGCACACACATGTGTATGTGTGCCTATAAACATGTGAACATGCGTGCAAACATTTCCCCAAACATGTGGGGAAAAATTTAAGGTGGCTATTATAGTTACAAATGAATGTTTGCACGAGATAGACAGTTGGAAATCTAAAAGAGGGGTATGGTCAAGAACCACATACCTGTGGCACAAAGTTAAAGCTTTCTATATATGTGATATATGTCATTCTGGAATTTCTTCCCCCTCCAAAACACAGGTGTGTTGCTTGTTTCCATATATTTATCTAATATCTGGTTATTCTGTCATGCAGTTTGAAACTCAAACAACTTCTCTGCTGGTAGACTAACCATAAGCTCATATTTTTCTGTAGTGAATGATGCCGACCTCCTACCTTTCCAGTGCTGATATTTTCTTCTTCCCTCTTTCAGGGTTTTGTGGAGTGGTCCAAAACTCCACAGCAAACAACCATCGTGTTGGTCGTGTGTGTGCTGTTCTTATTCTTGGTTTTAACTGGGATGCCCATGATCCTCCACATTTAACCACTGCCATCGCTGCTGTACAGAAGCCTAGGTCCTCTGTCACATTAAGAAACTGTCTTGGCTAGACGCCAGGCATGAGTACTCAACATTATGAAATGCCTTTCAAATACCCATTGAGATGACCTTATAATGTTTTATTTATTTACTTTAGAGATTTATTTTGATTATGTGTGTGCACATCTGTATGTACATGTGCTATTGTGAGTGCAGTGCCTGCAGAGGCCAGTAGAGGGAGTTTGAGCCCTTGGAGCTGGAGTTGTTGGCAGTTGTGAGCTGCCTGATATGGGAGCGGAACTCTGGCCCTCTGCAAGAGCAATAAGTACCCTTAATTGCTGAGCTGTCTCTCTAGCTTCATGAGTTTTTTCTTCTTTGTATTTTCATAAAACTTCTTAGTATGAGGTTTCTACATTACTGAAATTTATTTAAATGAATACATCATTGATTATAAAGACATTATTTTGTACACTACTGAGAAATACAAAATTTTTGTATTTAGTGCTGAGAAAGAAAAAAAGTGTGAATTACTTGATATGAATGGCAAAATATCTCTTCAGAGAAGTTGAAAAATGTACAACTTAAGGTCAATGTTGAACCATCTTCTGTCTTGTAAAAAATATTACGTTACAATTTAACATTTTGCCTGCATGTGTTTTTATGTACCACATATGTGCCTGGTGCCTGTGGAGGCCAGAGGAGGGTGTTGGGTTTCTTAAAAGTGGAGTTACAGATGGTTGTGAGCCATCATGAGCGCTGAGAATTGAACCTGGGTCCTTCACTGCTGAGCCATCTCTCCAGCCCCAGTGTCATAGCATCTCTAGTGTGTGCAGTCTCTCCATCTAGACTCTTTTCTGCTATTTCATGTAAGGACTCCTGCCTCTATCTTGATGTGTTCAGTTGGTGCTATTTTGTGACATTTTTGTCTCTTGGCTTAAGTTTTCATCATTGAGAGATCTGAGTACTTTTTTATACTTTTTATGCTTTTGAATAATCTCTGTAGCTTGAGAAATATATTTTTGACAGCTTAAAAGAATTTACAGTGGTTAGGGAGATGCTGCATAGTTTAGCGTGTATATCACTCTTGCAGTTTGCTTTCTGGCACACATATCAGGCCACAACTCCAGCTCCAGGAGCTCAGATGCCCTCTACTGACCTCTGGGGAACACAGCACTCATGTGCACACACCCACCCATATCTCCCCCCATACATATAATTAAAAATAAATCCTTAAGATTTTTAAAAAAGAATTCTCCAGTAATTAGTTCTGAGATTGGTGAGAGGAAAATCTCAGGCTATGTTTGATTTGAGTTTTCATAACTCATCTTATTAGTCATTACTATAATAATTCTATATTGGTAGCTTATGAACACTTTTTTACTTCTTGGATTCATTTTGATGATTTATAATAGTCTTATCTTCTAGAGAGTTCTTCATTCTGTAGACCTTTTGTGATTATAAGCTTAATTATAAACACTATTTTTATAATTAAACAAAAAAAATTCTCTGCATCGTTTTTTCCTACCACTGTTCTCCTTTCCACTTGTCTTTGTGACTTACTTGTTATTTCATTTTACCAAACACTTATCTGTTTTTTGTTATTGCTTTTCCAAGGATCAGATTTTTGACAGCTTAAAAGAATTTACAGTGGTTGTAGAGATGGCTCCATGGTTTAAGGTATTTGTTTATTTATATTAATTATTTATATTTATATTATTTCTTTTACTTGTTATTATTTTTTAATTATAAAGTATTTTTATTGTGCTTAGTTCTGAGTACTTTTATTTCTTGGGTTACATTTTAAGCTGAATTTAAATTTGATTTTAAAATTAAAAATTTAAGCTGAATTTAAGTCTAAATTTTCTCTATACTTGCAATAATAACATACTTAATAATAGAAATGTCCTTCTGGATATAAACTTGGCTACAAACTTGGCAACATCTTGACATTAAATAATCTATATAGTGGCTTATCATGTTCTTTTTTTTTTTGTACTAGTCCTACCAAATGCTTTGAAGTCCAGTGGTTTAGTTTGTGTTTTGTTTAGAAACACTTCTGCATGGCTGGGGTTCTGGGGAGATGGCTCAGCGTGTAGGCACACTTGTTCTGCAGACATAGTTCTGAGTTTGAATGCACTGCTGTCTGTGTTATAATCTCAGCATTGGAAGGTGGGGTCTGATGGAGACAGTGGCCAGAGCTCACTGGCCGACCAGCCTAGCCAAAAAGGCCCTGTCTCAAGACAGTAAGGTAGAAAGCAATGGAGCAGGTCATCCCATTGCTCTGATTCCCACAGGCACATGCACGGATGAGCACCTGCATGCCCACATCATGCAGCTGACCCACCCGAACCCATGCTCCCCCAACAAAAGGAAAGGAGTCGTCTAATTTTTCTGGTTTGTGAATGTAGCCTATAATATATCTGCTTTCAAAACATTTTGCAGCACTTCAACTATGGCCAAGAACATGTCCAGTCTCTGTAGCTTTCATGGATGTTTAAGGTGAAGATCTGCTCTTTGCAGACTAGAGAACCATGTCTGTCTGTCTACGCAGCCTCACAATGATGCTGTTCTCATTCATCTGCTCCTTGACTTTGGGCTGCTGCATTTGTTAATTTAACTTACTAGTATATTTTTATAATATTTACTTTATGTATACAATAACTATATAATTCAGTACAAACAGAACCAGAACTATTATAAATTGCTGTTTAAATTACATGTAAAACATCAAGAACATCAGGTATATAATAAAACTCAATAAATTCCAGCTAAAACCTGATTCTGACTCTTTCATTAAATAGAAACTAATTGGCCTTTAGCCAGTTCAATAATTTGAAATTTTCCTTTTTCAAATATAAGTTGGTATGAGTGTCCTCTTTTTAAAATCCTCTGTGGGTATACATGGAATATTTCCACTGTATCATTTTGCTTTAAAAGAATTTGCTTTTTAAATTTCTTTTATTTTTAGATTCATTTATGCTATTTTGTGTGTGTGTTTTGCCTGAATGTATGTGTGTGTGCCACATGTGTGCCTGGTGCCCACAGAGGCCAAGAGTGGGTGTCAGATTCCTGAAACTGGAATTATGGATGGTTGTGAGCTACTCTGTAGCCTCTGGGAACCAAACTCAGGTCCTTCGCAAGAGCAGCCAGCCCTGCTAACTGCTGTGCCATCTCTCCAGAACGGAGTTTTTTTTCTTTTTTTTAAAAACTATTTTTATGTGTGTGTGTGTGCCTATGCACGGGCGCACATCTGCTTGTCTGTGTGTGTACCACATGTGTGCTGCACCCACAGAGGCTAGAAGAGGGTGCTGAGCCCTGTGGGTCTGAAGCAGCAAGGGCCTGTGGGCCATACAGTGCTGGCCCCAGCAACTGAATCTGGGTCCTCCGAAAGAGCAGCAAGTGCTCTTTACCGCTGAGCCCTCTCCAGGACCCTGTGAAAGGATTTTCAGTGGCTTCTCTGGGATTCACTGGAGAAGTAATCAGGGGAAAGTATGAGGTGATCTCCCCAGCCATCCTTTCTTGGAGTAACTGTATCCAAAAAGCAACAAGCCCTTAAAAGAACGTAGATGTCTGTTGTTATGCAGTTGGGATTTTCATTAGCTGTAAACAAGAGATTAACTTCAGATTTGGCTGGATTCAGGGAGCCAAATTGTCAATTGGACTTTTCCTCTCCATGGCTCTTACACATATGGCCACTTCTGAGACTGATCACCCTCTCCCTTCTTGGGGCATGGCCACCTCTTTCGTGGTCATATCCTCCAAGTGGCAGCTTCCCTCAGAATGTGCAGGATCTCATGTGTGTATCAATGAGGACTTTGCCAGTGTCCCAGCTCATGGAGCAAGCTCAGCAGGGGTCTTCACGTTTAAGTCAGCTCACTGGAGTTCCAGAATGAGTAGTGGCAGTCATCACTGGGTCCCAGCAATATCACTTAGTGGAATGGTAACTCCAGCTGTGTGGCACTTCTCTGTGGCTGTTGTGACTCCATGTCTACCCACTGGGTATCAAGATGGAGTCAGCTGGTGGAGGCCATAGCACACAGCCCGAGGGGGCACAGACAGGCTCAGAGTCCAAGGTAAACAAATTACCTCTACTGCTAATACCTCTGACACGTGGCTATTCCCTCTTCACACCAACCACAAATTCTTCAACCTCTGAGCACTCCAGACAGCCAGCTCCACACAGCCACAAAGTTATGGGAGAGATAGTGAAGTTTCCCATGATCCTTTTCTGATCAGGTGTAAAAAATTGCTGGAACAGTTTATGGGATGCGGGGGAACAATGGTTTTACTGTTATTTTTTGTTTGTTTGAAAAAAATGTTTGTTTTCACTTTATGCGTATTGAGCGTTTTGATAGTACAGTGCGTATGGCTGTGCACTACATGCATGTAGTACCGGAAGAGTCCAGAAGAGGGCATAAGATCCACTGGAAACTGGAGTTACAGGCGGGAGTGCTTGCTCGGGTCCTCTGGAAAAGCAACAAGCATTTTTTTTGTTATTCTTTTTTTTTAAATTTTTTATTAATTACACTTTATTCATTTTGTATCCCCCCCATAGGCCCCCCCTCCTCCCCTCCCGATCTCACCCTCCCACTCCCTTCTTCACGCATGCCACTCCCCAAGTCCACTGATAGGGGAGGTTCTCCTCTTCTTTCTGATCTTAGTCTATCAGTTCTCATCAAAAGTGGCTGCATTGTCCTCTACTGTGGCCTGGTAAGGCTGCTCCCCCCTCAGGGGGAAGTGATCAATGAGCAGGCCAATCAGATTATGTCAGAGGCAGTCCCTCTTCCCATTACTATGTAACCCACTTGGACACTGAACTGCCATGGGCTACATCTGTGCAGGGGTTCTGGGTTATCTCCACGAATAGTCCTTGGTTGGAGTATGGGTCTCTGGGAAGTTCCCTGTGTTCAAATTATCTGCAACAAGCATTTTTAACATATGATTTATCTCTTCAGCCCTTAGTTATTTTTTGAAAAATTCATACACGCATGTAATGTATCTTGGTTTACCCAATCCCACCTTTTCTTCCAGCTTTCCCCACCCCCACAACATTTCATCTTCTCCCCTACTTCACGTCTTAAAAAAAAAAATCAGTTAGCACTGCCTGTGTTTGCTGTGTGTGCGTGTGTGTGCGTGTACGTGTGTGTGTGTGGTCATCCCCCGAGGCATGGGAAACCTACCAATGGCCACCCCTTCCTTCCTCTAGTAGCCTGTCTCTGCCGCCCAAATGCTGGAATTAAAGGCTTCTGCCCAGCAGAAGCCGGGATTTTTGACTGGCTTGATCCTGTGCAGGTTTTACACCGGTTACCACAGCTGGTGAGTTCCTGGGTGCAATAACCATTTCTACGTAGAAGACATTTTACATCGTTCATTCCCATCATCGGTCCTTGAATTCTTTCTATCCGCCCCCCGCCGCCCCCGTGATCCCTGAGCCTTTGGGAGAGGAGGGTTGATAGATGCGGCCCAGCTACGGCTGGGCTGTTGCTCGTTCTTAGCCCTTGGGCCAGTCAGAGGCTCTGCATCACCCACTACCCACTGCAAACAAGACCGAGAGTTCCACAAATCTGTCTGCTCGAGCTCAGAGGAAGAAGCGAGAAAAGCCCCTTCCAACTTTATTTTGTTCAAGGACTTTTGAAACAGGCTCAAGTGCCTTTTTTGCCACTAGATGGCAGTGTTTAATAAGGGACAAAGAAGCAGGCGCACTATTTAAAATTAAAATTAAATCTAACGTGGAAAAAAAACGGTACCTGGTGACGGCTTTTAAACATTTTGAGATGAAATGCTTTGTGCACACTGGTTAAATTTTATTTTTGAAGTGCAAAAAAAAAAACCAAAAAAAAACAAAAAAAACAAAAAAAAAACAACCCCCCCACCCCAACAGTTAATATTTATCATTCTAATAATTTAAAATATTTTACAATATTTTTGAAGGATCACATTCCCATCAACAGTGCACCGGGTTGCAATTTATCCAAACCCTGATAGCATGCTATTTTATTTTTGTTTTATTTGTGTGTATGTGTGTCTGCACGCATGCATGGTGGGGTAGGCACAAATGTGTTTGGAGGTCAAAGGACAACTTGCGGGCATCGATTCTTGCCTTCCATCTTGTGGGTCCTGGGAATAGCATTCAGGTAGTTAGCCACGGCAGCAAACCCTTTTCCCTGCTGAACCATTTTGCTGGCTTATTACCGTTGTGCTACACGTGTGCATGGGTAAGCGACAGAAATTTTATATTTGAACAGGAGAGATATAGCTTATTTCTATTTTTCATTAACGTATGTTATGAAACAGCGCACTTGTACATCTCTCAAGCCCTGAATTCACAGCCTCACTTGCTTCTGAACACCGACTGTCATGTTGTTTCTG